TATATATATATATATATATATATATATATATATATATATATATATATATATATATATATATATATATATATATGTGGGTGTGTGTGTGAGTGTGTGTGTGTGTATCTATTTTCTTACCGAGTCGCGCTATAGTCGGCCAAGGAAGACACTTATATGTGCACACACTCACACACACACACACACACACATATATATATATATATATGTGTGTGTGTGTGTGTGTGTGTGTATGTGTGTGTGCGTATCTATTTTCTTACCGAGTCGCGCTATAGTCGGCCAAGGAAGGCACTTATATGTGCACACTGTTGCAGCTGGTTTTGACATTACCGAGTCCTATTAAGGCCACCTACAACCGAGTCTCCTTCGAGGCCGGGTGCGTTATGATATGACATGATACATTACTGGATCCTATTAAGGCCAGATACGATCGAGTCCTCTCCGAGGCCAGGTACATTATATTATGACATTTTTGCCCCTTAGAGTGGCTTGATACTATATTATATGGCCCCGTTGAGTGGCTTGATTTTTACAGACATGCATATATACCCATAATTGTGACTGAGTATGCCTTTAGAGGCTTGTTATGAGTTACAGGTTGACTTATGTACTCTTCTTTCACATTCCATATTTTATTTTATTGTTTTACCTATCTTACATATTCAGTACATCTTGCATACTGACGACCCCTTGCTGGGGCACTGCGTTTCATGCCTGCAGGTACAGATAGAGATTCAGAGAAGGTTCCCACGCTCCCTTCTTCCGGAGTTGTTCAGTGAGCTGATAGGTATGGTGGTTGTATGTATATACATAATTGGGTATGTCGGGGTCTTATCCCGACCAGATGTTGTAGATGTACTCTCTAGAGAAGCTTGGATTTCAAATTCTAGTTGTTGTATAAGATAATTATATTATCTCCTTGCTTGTGCTTAAGTTTAGTTCCATGTTGGTGAGGTTGTTTGAAGCAAAATACTACAAGATTACATTGGAATAAGCTAAGATATGACAACTGTTTTGTTAGACTACTTTGAGGTGATAAATATGATTGGTGATGGATGAAAATTGTGGAATATAACTTCATTATGATTTGGTTTGTGTTGTTGTGCATGTCTATATATTTATCAAGGGAATTGATGAAAGAAACATATGAAACTTGAGATTTGAAGTAAATATTAAGGTGTTTGTGCGTGTGTACTATTTTGCAAGGGTTTTGATCTAGGTTTTGATCTGATTTTGTTAGAATATCTTGAATACATTATTGTTGATGTTGTTCCTATTATTTTGGTGCTGGTTTGAGTTGGATGGTAGTGGAATTTTATAGGAGAAATGTTGTCTCATTTTCTATAAGTGACCTACTAGCTTAGAAGCATCTTTGTAAGTCCTTTTATGGCATTAACTACAAGTTTTACTGTCTTAATGTAGATTGAAGTCTTAGGGAAGATATACGTTGAGTCATTAAGTAAACGACAGAGGTATGTTAAGGCTCACTTTTTCTTTCTTTTGGAATGATCTACAAAGAACCTAACTACAACGTCGTTACTTCAACAGGGAACTCTATTCTCACCTCATTGTTTCATAATGTTATAGTTCATGACT